CTATCACTTTTCTCTCCACTCTTATCCCATAGATGCCAGTAATGCTGAGACACAAAATCAGAACCTGTTTGTGCTGCACCTTAAACATCAGGAACAAGCAGCTGCCACACAAACGAGACTCTCCTTTTCTTTTACCTTTAACCTTGTCTCAAACCAGAGTCCACTCCCTGAACAGCATAAAAAGTCACCGCTCATGCACAGAATAAGAATGAAAAACTGCTGCTCTCACACTGACTGTCTTCCCTTCTGCATAAGCAGCAGCACTAAATTGACTCCAGACAAGCAACTTTCATGGAATCAGATCATTTTAGCGTGTCTGGAATAGAACAGCTAAATGCAAAGCTGAAAGCTGGTTTCTGAACTTACCTGGGCTGCTGCTGGGGCTGCTGGAGGAGCCTGACTGGGTGGAGGTACAGCAGTTGGAGGTTGTGCAGGTACTTGTGCTGCAGCCTGAGGTAGTTGAGTAGGTGCCTGTGCTGGAGCATTGAGTGAAGGACCTGGAGGCTCAGCTGATGGGAACAGCTGCAAGGAAAAAGGCATTTTAATGAGAAAAGGAACTCAAAAGTTGTGACTCAAGTATTAGCTTTCCAAAAAGTGCTTGTTTGACACATAAATCACTTGGAGAACTTCAGTGCCAAGGGCATTCCCAGGCCTCCACGACACTAACGCTGACCCCAAGTTGGTGTTTAAGGGGTTTAATGTATACTCATGTCCAGGGACCCCTTCTTCCCTGACATTTGCTAGCTTTACTCATCAGTAAAGAAGGGAAAGAAACCAAGACAGCAGCATGACTGTGGATCCTGGACAAAAATTACACTGCAGCTAGCAAGGCTGGATGCACACAGATCATATCCTAGCTTAGACAGGAGCACCCTATCTTTTAGTTTCCCCCCCCTTCTCAGAATCTGAGACCTACTTGTATTTCCAAGTAGCCATGCAGTCACAGCAGAGCAACTCTGCTTTGACTCGTAGTTCCTTTCAGAGAACACAGGCTAGCAAAACATTAAGATAACAATCAACAATTTATCCATTCGTAAAACAAATGTCAGGGTCAGAGCAATCCAGGTATTCAACTGAAAAGTCAACTCAGAGCTTAAGTTCTTCAAAACACACAAGACTGTTTAGGATTGGACTTACAAAAGTCAGTCCTTTGAAAAAAAAAGCAATTAATTTGGGGTGGGGGAAAAGAGCTAAATGAAAGCTTAACCTTTTTTACCTCTTGTATTATTCAGAACAGAGAAACTGATTGTGGCATTGAAGCCAAAGAACTGTAAGCTTGATGGCAGTTCTTCAGTGTGCCCTCCAACTTACTCTACTAAGTTGAAGGCAATATCAATCACCTTGAATATTGAAAACCTGGGCAGCACACCTCCAAATCACAGTATATATTAAGGGACATATTAATCCCAAAGGGATGCTGGTTCTCAGCATTTTCTTTGTATTTAGAGTTTATGTCAAATTACAGTGCCAGATTTGTAATCTTTAAGATCTCCCTTTACAATCAATCCTTGGAAACAGATGAAGGAAGAACAGGACCGCCTAACGCAAGACTAATTTCTAGAAGAAAGCTTTGTTTATCTTTCTACACAGGTGGGGAAAAGAAAGACATAGCACAGTCTCTAGAAGATAAAGCAGTTGCTATCACTGAAAGATAAGATATACTAATATGCCTAACGTAAGAATCACAGGACAGAACTGAAGGTACATTATAAACTGCGATTGAAGTTTTGTTTGCTATCAAATTACTGCTACAGATTTATTTCACAGTTCTGAGCACAGGTTCCAAACCAGTGAATTAGACTATGCAGAACAGACATTTTAAACTTGTGTTTTGTTGGGGGTTTTTAAAGAAGAAATTGGAAAACCGTTGTTTCGCTTAGATTATTCTTGTGACTAATTCATTATCTTACAACAAAGATAGCAAGCAAAGTTTAAAAGATACACACCAAACTTGTCTCAGGAAGACCTCCTGGCATTACACAGCCAACGCTTCCTTTCATAGGGAGGTTTTCAAGCAGAGCACAGCTAGATACTAGCTTCTACTTCACACTTCTTTTCAAAGGCTCGAAACAACAGCATTAACTAGGAGTTATCATTTTGGGAAGCCATTTGCAATTACAACTTACCTCGGAATTCTGTACAGGTTCTTTCACTCTGGGAGACTGAAAAAACAAAAAAAGCTGTCATTGCCTAGAAAAAGTGAAATTTATTGACTAGAAAGGCTTGTCAGAACCATACTGAACACATGAAACTTATATAATTTTTTCAAGTTACATATATGTATTAAGATGCATAATAAAGTGGGCATCACACAATTTTCTGGTCACCTAAACCATATCATACCACCCAGAAACACAGTCATGTTTTAGAACTTGCAGTTGATATTTACACAGTGGCACACAATACCCTAACCTGCTATCACTGTTAACCATTAGCAAAACCCAGTACTCTTCAAGATCACTCAGACTGGATCAAATTACTTGTGTACCAGTATGGCAAAACCCATTTTATGCTACCCAAGTCTTGCAGAAAAAGATAAGCCACACAAATCTGCCTTGCTGAATTCTGCTAGAAAACAAATCCCTTTCGTATACTTAGGGAACTAGTTTGCAAACCAACTTGCTTAAACCATAGGAAACCTTGGGAACAAAGAAAAAAAAATCAGCCTTACATGTGTTGCTTTATAGAAAGAAATCTTTTGCCTGCTCTCCTTCTGTGCCAAACCATAGAAAACCTTGGGAACAAAGAAAAAAAAAAAATCAGCCTTACATGTGTTGCTTTATAGAAAGAAATCTTTTGCCTGCTCTCCTTCTGTGCCCTTGGACTCTGCATCATGCTATGCTCTCCATGAGAGAAAGCAGAAAACTAACAGCTCTACACAAGTTCAGCAGTGGAACAAAGACCAGTGGAATGGATGGGAAAGTGCAGTCAAAGCAACGCGACCCATCTTTGCTTATCAGTAAAATAAAGATAGTAGGCACTAGCTATTTCACATGAGCAGGAAGGAATTGCCAAGTATTCCTGGAAAGTCCTGTAATTAAGAGAGCCTGCAGTTTTGACTTCTAACAGGTCCAATTATCACGTGGATACAGACAGGTGGGATGACTCGGTCCATGTTGGGATTAATAAAATAGATGGTCCTTCTCCATACAATGGTCTAAAAGACAGGTTGTGATTAGGGCAAGTTTCACAGAAGGACATAATTCTCATCTTTTCATTACCTTAACTTGAGCTGGTTTATTCACCAAACAGCACCACTAACTTAATCAACGTAGATCAGAGCAGTTTGTAATGTATGACCCATGAGAGAAAGTAAAAGCTCTCATTCTCAGAACAGCAAGCTGCAGAAAGTCCTCTGGACAGGAAGAGAAGGATCAGTTCCTTCACAGTGACTATATACAGACAGTATCAAGATAAAAGTCATGCAGCTGGAAAGGTAAAGCCTGAAATCCATCTCAGTACGTTGAGCCTCCCCTTGACAGTTACCAGGCAAGATGAAAAACGTGACGTTGCTCCCAGAGATGAACAGCCATGTTCCACATCTGCAGGCCACGGCTGCAGCGCTGTTCGCTCAGGCACAAAGCTCTTATCCAAAAGTAGCCGGATGCCTCAAAGAATAACTCAAGAGGAGCTTGTCTGAAAGATCCCGGTGTGCTGGACACTGTACAGACAAGTATGGCAACACCAGCCCTGCCCCACAGCTAACCAACCCAGAGCAATGGCAAACAGAGCGAAACTAAGGAAAAACATGGACAGAGAGAAAGGAAATAGGACAAACGTTAAAAGATGTTTACCTAACTGAGGCACAAAGAGGATGACTTTGGGGATGGGCTGAAATATATTAGTTCTAACTGACTTTTGCTTGCGCAATCAGAGATGACGTGAGTGACCAGTGAAATGTGACCACACCATGCACCACTGACCAGACCTGCTGACTAAGGGAAGCTGAATGATTGAAGAGTTCACACAGCACAACTGCCCTCATTTGAATTCAAGGTTTTAAATACCAAGAGTGCAAAGTTGCCCAGTAAGTTTTTATGTCCAAAAGGTAACGTGGATCCAGCAAGTCAGCTTATTCAATGTATTGGGGAGATATTTCTGGTTGTTTGTCATAAATATTTGTCTGCTTTCAGGTGCAGTCCTAGCAAGAGACTTATAAAATAAACTTTTTATGTATGTTTATGATTAAAATCATCCTATTTTTTCCGTAAAGTGGAGGCAAGCAAAAAATATAAACACTTTACACTTATGTAGAAGCTTTAATGCAGGATAATACTGAAGTGTTTTAGCAAATTAAGTCAATCTGCAAACCATTCTTTAAGGCTGACAGCAGTAAAATGCAGGTAGTTGGAACCACAGAATGGCTTGTGTTGGAAAGGACTTTTAAGGATTTATCTCATCCAAGCCCTCTGCCATGGGTAGGAATAAAAAGGTGACACCTAGTCAAAGTAAGTTATTCTATCTTACAACTTAGTTAAAATTGCAGAAGGGTTACAGGCAGGTGGAATTCACACCCTGTATTTGAAATACGGCTGAAACACAGGATTAACACCAGTCCTCAACAACACCGTATCTGCAGCAAAAACTAGCAGTTTAAATACAAGCCTTAAGATTGCTCAAGACGGGATCAAACACTAGAGGTGCACAGGAGTTCCTATCCTTTCATCTTCAGGCTGTAAAAAGTAACTCAAAAGCTGTGCAGAGGAAAGACACCCAGGGCAGGATTTAGGTACCTAAGCAGCCATGTAGTGAGGTCTAAGGTGCCACAGTGCCTTTCTCGACCTCTAGAAAGGCACAGGTCTCCCAAAGTTCTGTGTTATATCTACACGGAGTGCCTCCAAAACGGCCACATACATCTACATTTAGGTAACTGAATTGAGACCTACTGCTCCAATATCCATCCTTTACTAACAGGCTAAAGGTTTCTTGAGGGGGAGACCTGGAAACAAAGGCCAAACATGGCCCAAATTAGAGACCGGAACAGAGAGCAGTACTAGGATATCCGCCAAAGCTCAAAGAAAAAAAAAAAGCTTCAAAAGGGCATAAAAATGTGTGTCAATCTGTTGTTTTTCTGCATTAGAGGAATTAAACAACTAAGCACTGTTCAAAACACAGTAAAGAGTGCTATATCATAGTATTATGAGCCTAGAGACATAACAGAACAAGCTCTAAGTAATCTCTGAAACAGAGTTAGGGTCTCTTACAATATTCCCTCCTAAAACTTTATTATATTTTAACGCACAAAAGGGATTTAGAAGATTTCAGCTTATAAAGGATCAAGAATTAGTATCCACCTGTTACCAAGAGATTCTCCTTGACTGGGCAGTATGAAGCTAGATATAGTAAGCTCTTTAGAAAGTCACAATAGTTGTTGCCACAAAGTATGGAATTACTTTATCAATAGTAACCTTTAAAAACCCAGCATTTTAAAGGATGCTAGAAAGATGTAAAATTTAGCATTTAAGTGTCTGTACAGATCACCAGTAAAAGAAAAAACAATGAAAGAGAAATGAGAAAATAAGTTGTTAAGGAATAAATGCCTCAAACAAAAAACGCCTTTTTTCCCTTTCATATTGAAAAGCTTCTTCTGAAAATCCTTCAGTCTCATTAATTCAATTCTAGAATGATTAAAATGCATAGTCCACTTCAAACTTCCCACTGTAGAAACAAGCAAGCCGTTACAGTCAAAATCCACACTGCTGACTACTGGGCAAAGACAGTCTAGAAATTTATTGTCATTTTTTAGTTGATCACTGTGCATTACTCCTCTGTGTTTCTTAGGGTCAGTCTGAGTTTGTGTTTTTTTGTATAAGTGTTGGGAGAGAGGGAGGTGGTGTTTTTCGAAGGATTTTCAAGTGCTAGATCAATCACTCCTTGTGACTCCAGAGATGCTGCAACGTTTTCTACTAGGACTAATCAATCTCAGTGTAACTGAGGGGACAGAACCAGGCCCCGTGTGTTTCAGATGTCAGCCATAAGCACAGGCCCTATTGATTTCAGCTCCGTCCTGGAGACAGCAGTCGGACAAAACCTCTCCTGACACTTCCAGAAGAAAGCACCTCAAACAGCCAGCACCCTTAAAAACAAAGAGAATTCCCCAGCTCAAGTGAATTAGTATGCTGAGGTGGGAGCAGACTGTCTGAACTCATGTTCCCAATTACACTCAACATCCCCAAACAAGACCAGCTGTGTCCCACAATGATGACAGAAAAGAAATCAATACAATTTCTTCAAACTTCAGTCTGCTTTCCCTGGCTCAGCTACAGACTTGAGGGAATGGATTACAATTTACTGTGTATCATACTTCAGACACGGCCACATGCTTCCCAGGGATATTTAGACATACCACCGTTAGGAAAGCAAAACAGAGACAAGAGAGCTATCAGTTTGAGGACTCACCCTGAGCTGTGAAATTGCTGCTCTGCCTTCCTCACTTTCTTCATCTAGTTCATCATCACTCCATTCCCAGCCACCATCTTCAGTCTTATGAAGACGTCCGCTGGAACCCGGGACTCTCCGGACCTGCTCAGCACAAAGAGAACTGACATGTCAAGCAGTTTCTACAGTTAATTTTTTTTAGGAGAAACAGCACAAGAACACCTTCAGGTTGCACCATCTGCTAGGGTGCTCAAGTATTTTATTGAGATGTCTAGCCCTGTCTCTAGAAAATGCTGTACTACAATAATTCTCATCAAAAATATGAAAACAAACACAAAAAAAACCTAGTATGACTAACAGCAAGAGCCCAAGAGGTTTTTGGTACCTTTTTAGATCTTTCAGTGATTGTTGGGGCTCTCTGCAACATCTTCTCTTGTAAAAATTCTTTATTCTGCAAAAGAAAAAATACCATTCAGCATTGCTGAAAATTGATTCCTTCAGTGTCTCTGATACAGAAACTGTTAAGCTATTTCTAGCAGAAAGTGTTTTACCTATTTCATCCCCATTCCTCCACTTTCTTCCTTCAGATTACAGCAGGATTATTATAGAAACCTCAATACCTTCTAAATTTGTGGTTGCACTTTCCCAATGCAAAGTGATACAGAATTAACAACTGAGGAGTTGTATACTATTCTGTCTGATTTACTGGGGAACATGCTTTTATACTTATCACAGCATCCGATACCCTGCTGAGACATTTGGCATTCTTCCATTTTCAGATACTATACCACCTGGATCCAGCCAGTTTGCTTTACTTTGCCCCTAAATTTATGCCTGTCCAACTGTCAAAGGCAAACCTCAGATGTCAGGCAGGCCAGGATGCAGGAACCTCTATATGCTGGAGTAATGAGATGCAGGAATTAGGGCAAAAGGAGTTAGAGTGGCTGAAAAAAATGTACAGCACATGATGCCTACAGAGGAAGTAAATGTCGTGATCACAACAGATGAAACATTAGGAAACTGCTGCGATGCTTTACCGTATTAAATTTCCCTTTCAGCAAGTTACTCCGGACTGGCTAATGTGGGCTCCTGGATGCACGATTTTCCAACTGCTTGACTGCAGAGCCAAGCTGCCGGCTGTGGGGGAAGCAGGCCAGGCAAGCACGCTGGCATTAGCACGGGGATGTGGCTGGAGTGCCCTGCCATCTCTGCCCATGGAGTGCTCCCACAACTCCCCCGTGATGCCTTCTTGCATGTAGGATGCAGAGCCTCAAGACACATGCTGTCATTTCCTGAACAGTGGCTCTCAGCATTATCAAAACCTACTTTTACATAACACAGGCTGTATTTATACATATGGTTCAGTATAGATGTATAGAAGTTGGACTCTTCTGTCCTCAAGTTACAGCTGTCAGTTTGGCAGTGGCTGATGTATGAAAGTAATTTAACACCGAGTGTTAAGCAGCACACATTTTCCCTCCAGGTGCCAGTTTAAGTATTGCCTCATTTACAATCATGTTAATTTTCTATCACCACATATGCTAAAATGTTACTCTGCAGCAGCTTAATGAAAGCACGAAGGAGATTTTACACACAATGAAGTACAACATGAACCAGAACTCGCATAACCGAATGGAGAAAGGTCAGCAATGTGTAAACCATCTTGACACTTTGGACACCAAGTGTGTCTGCAGCGTACAGATGCAGACTATGCAGTGGCCTAAAATCCCATTATGGACAATGAAAACCTGGTTAATACTGTCAAGAGTCCAGGCATCAATTAAACTTGCCCTAAAGCAAGCTCCTACATTTCATAAACTGGATCACTCTCTAGACTTCCCAGGTTGCACTTGTTAGATTTCTTTCAACTTGAGCAGGGCATCCAGCTCCTGTACAGATACCTAGATGTGGCCGCTTCCATTTAAGCCTCTTAATCTGGGAGCTGAAAACGACTTTGATTAATTGGTGATGCTGCTGTGCTATCCCAGGTATCAGATATCTTTTTGATGGTTTAATCCATGTTCTACTATAAAACCTATGTATTTTGATCACAAACACGCCACAGAAAAAGTAAGCAATCAGAAAACATTTCCTCATTCCCACAGAAACATAAATTCTCCCCTGTATTATTTCTGTCTCCCCCAACAAGACCCTGCACATTGCATATGCACTAATCTCCAGGCAGTAATTACATAAATGCTCACTGGCAGGTCACTTCAAGGCTAGAAATGGGAGTTTCCTACTATTTTCTATCAGAAGATCTTCGCTTTCCATAAGGCAACACCGGGTGAACTAGTCTTACATAGCCCTCCGCACAGTGGGCCTCATTCACTGCTTTCCATACAGACTGATTACAGAGTTTACTAAAATATAAGTTACATTTACTACCACAGAGACCTTTACGGTTGGACACGCAGCCAGAATGGCACCATTACAAGAGAAGAAAAAAAAAAAAAAACAACCCCAAAGCCACTGAAAGCCATTTAAATGCTCAAGAATTTCTAGATAATTTCTCTTAATAGCAGCACACACGAGGAGGTACAGATGAGGGGTTTCATTCTGGTCGTTCACGATGACCCATTCAACACACTCAGCTCTGCTGGCCCTAAGTGACACAGCCCACACTCGTGCCAATAAAGCTGTCACCATACCTATCACACTTCCCTCTCTACAGCCTCCGCACGGATCAGTTCAGGACGTGTCTTCTTACCTTTGCTTTCGTGAAAAATTTGTGTCTTAAGAGCTCTGCTGCTGTCGGTCTGTCAATAAAAACAGATGTAGAAAAAACAATTATAAATGCTCCCTTCCAACACAACAGGCTTCCAGGCTGCTCCATCTTGTTGTAACACTACATCTCCTACGGGCACTGGTTTCTCCTGCACAATTCCCCTGAAAATCAGTCAATGTATTCCAAGTAATTTTTATAGTAACAGTGTTTTAAGCACTCAGTGTATTCTGATCAAAGCCTGTTCTGTTCAAAAGCAGTAAATAATCCAGAGGCAGGGCAGGGGAAGGGAAGTTGCTCCCATTTCAGTACTGGACTAGAGCCAGTTTGATAGGATCACAAAAACAATTTGCTCAGAATTGAAATGAAGGATCATCACCTATAGCAAGAGGGCAGTACTCTCCATGTGCAGGTAAGAGAGCTATTTCAGAGATACTTGATTATACATATGCAATTAATTTTATTAAGCACAGGCAGGACGATCAACCTTAATAGAAAAGGAAGAAGTACAAAGTATTTTTCCCTTTAAGTTCGACTTTAAGATAAATCCTGGAAAGTAAGAGACCTCCCTTGGTCAGTTCAGGAGCTTTTTAAAGACTCAGACCTACATGAGACAGTACCAGCTCACAGCATTTCCCACGCTGCAAACTGGGCTTAAATAGCAACAGAGTTTAATTAGTGATTTGCAAAGGCCATTCATCACAAGGTTTATTTCACCCCAGACTAGGCTAACCAAAATCATCCACCTTATAGCAAGGGAGCCCCCAAAATAATTAAAAAGCAATTGCACTAAATTCTCCTCTTTGAGAGCCTATACAATATGCATAAGCACGTCGGATTCTGCAAGTTGCTCATTACGGACCAGCCTCCTGCTCCTGTAGTCAGGATGATGACAGTGGCTGTTAGTGGTGCCTGAGAAGAACGAACGGGCATGTCATGATTCAAAGTGATTATGTTTAATTCTGATCAGTAGACATTCTAACCTGCAGGGCTAGGATATGCTTTAGAAAGGAGAAAAAACATCATGCTGGGAGAAAACCCCTGCTATCAGCATTTATCAAGCACTCCACTGGATTCATTAAGCATTTCAAGTGTAAAGCTTATTAAAAGAGAGAGATCCCATCTCACGACGCATAAGAAGCCTTTGTTCCTGGATCCATCACAAAAGAGAACTGAAAAATGTCTTCATTATTATTTTTTTATGAAGGGACTCTTCCCTTTCCAGAATTAGTTTGCTTACTGAGGAAAAAAAGAAAACTAAGAGGTATAAAAACTGATCTGTGTGAATGCTTGTTCCTTGACCTTTGCATTTTAAGGAACACTCATTTTTAATACAGGAGGAACACTCCTTTAAAGAGCTTCACTGAGACTGGCAAATGCTATGACTGTCCTCCACAGAAATACATCCGAGCTCTCTTATGTGACAGACTGGGAGTTTTGAACAGTGCTGTAGACAGCCAGACCCTTGTGCAGCTTTGAATGATGCCATAACATAATGATAGGATGCTCTCCTGGGAACCACAACATAGGCACCACCTGCTTGGTAGTATTTCTAACATCACTGAGTAGTCAAGCTACTGTTACAAGGAAGACTGAAAGTGTTGTCAGGTCACTTAAGCAATCTGTATTGATGAAACACACTGGTAAAATTTGCCAGAGTTTTCCCTGATTTCTTTCCCGTCTCCCAAACCAAATATTACTTACAATTGAGCAAGTCAAAACTAGGCTGAAAGCCTTCTTTGCACTGGTAAATTTTAAAAGGTTTATTTACAAAGCTTCCCAAGTAAACACATATTGCCCAATCTGTAATTTCTGATTTATGAACACAGAGCAGTTTTGACCGGGAACAAAACATGAACTGCAGTCACCTGCTGGAGGTGGCAAGGGGGAGAATGGCACTACACACGCAGTGGACTGGGATGCACTCTCATTAACCCAAATGGAAGATGTGTGCCCTGGCCAGGCACGATGCCAGGTATTTATCCTTAAAAATAAGGACAGCCAAGAGAATTTGCTGCCACACAGCAAGATTGCTGTGTTCCTTGTGACCGAAAGGCTGGAAGGGCAGAGAGTGTAACAACTTTAAAAAAAAATATGGAATACAATGAGGTTTGTGTTTTTGTTTTGGTTTTAATTTATTTTGGTGTTACCAGTTCTTACCTTTTTTCAGGGTCTTTTTGTAGGCACAACGAAATCATTTTCCTAAATGATTTTCCATACTTCTTCAGCATCTCCTTATCTTGCACACCGGTTTCCAGAGATGGAGGATCATTTTGTAGCGTCAGCATCAAAACCTGAAAGAATTATGTCTATTGGCAATGAGATTTTTCTTGGCCTTTGTTAGAGACAGGTCTTAGGAGCACTGTATTTTGACACGTATTTTCATCAAGCATCTGAGTCAAAAAGAACTGTTTCATTACAACAGCTCTCTGATGGTAGACTGAGCTCAGAGCGAAGTTTCTTAAAATCTAGACTAGACAGCAAAAACTCACCTACCTTCTCCCCAAGACAATTACAGGGTCTACCCTCTTCCCTCTGCTTCCCACATTCAACTAACTTTGTAGAAACAATGATTTTCAAAACTTTTACACCTCTGCAAATTCAGACTGTCAGCTGAGAGGCTGAAGGCTCATACAAGAAGTTCTAGAGTTACCTCCACCTCATTTCCTTCAGAATCCAGGCTAATTTATACCCAACAGCCTATGCTACTGCCTTCCACCGCATCTCCTGGCCCATGGTGCAGTCTGAGGGCCAGACAAGGTCGGGATGCATTTTCAGACCTGTTTGGTGTGATTAAAGGTGGAAGCACAGCAGAGCTTCTACCAGCCTTCCTCATTTGAGATAAGGAGTTGTGCAAGGCATTTGATTCAAACGCTCTGTTTAGATCTCCCTGCAGGTACTACTTAGCTAGAAATGGAATTCATGTAAAAGCAAAAGAGCAATAAAAAAAAAAATGAATGTTCCCTTCCATGTAGCAACGCGACAGCAGGTGAAGACATTTCTCACACAAGCACCCACAAAGCCAAACTGATTATTTCATTCAAATCACTCAGATATTCTGAAGGAAAAGGAAGAAAATTACTCATTTCCATTTTCACTTGTCACCTACATACAGATGAATATCTATTTTTAGAAAAGGAAGCAGCACATAGCACATTTAAATAGCTTTCAACAGCTATATTGCTTAGGGCAGCAAGAACCCATCAATCTAGCTGAAATTATACAGCCCATGACAGAATTCCCTGCTTTCTTCCCTTTCCTTGGAGGGTCACTTAATGCATGGATCGTTTTGCTGCATAACAGAATTAATCTGCAGTGAAATACAATTACATTCAATAAATAAAATACAGAAGTCCTCTTGGACTGCGTGACTGGAACCCATACCTAACTGAATCGGAGATTCATAACTCTATCTACCTTATGAAATCACACGTTGCTAAATAGGAAATCTTTGTATTCAAAGCTGCGAACCGTGCATTCAAAACACAATAAGGAGAAGTACATCTTACAGAAGCTACTGCAAAATGCTACCAATAATCACAGCAGAGAAGGAAGTATCAATGGAAACAGCAATAGCTAAACCAGCAACGCATTTCCCTTAACCCCTCGCTGCTCTGCCACAATCACCAATACAGTATGAACTCTAATGGCATTTCTAAGCCACTCAGCTGCTCAGTATCTCAGGTACCTAGTCTAACCATAAGCTATACTCCCTCCTGCTCGATTAGAGGGAGCATGCATCCCAGGAGCAGAAGCAAAGCAGCCTTCAAAAAGTGCAGGCCAAAGACACTCAAAGTTTTGTGATTGAGATAGGGTCTCATCAGATCTCACAAAGAGACTAAGGAAAAAGATCTCAAAGCTCAGTAGAGAAGGGCAGGATGCTTCAGACCTAACTGATGAAGTCAACTCTGTTAACTTTAAGATGTAGACTCCTTGAAGCAGCATGTTGGAAGCAGCTCGTGGTTCAAGAGTCAGGAAATAGGGAAAGTTAGCCAAACTATACAGTGAACTGAAGTTAAAGGTATTTTTAAAAGATTTTTCAAGAGTCAGTGTTTAAACAAGAACAATTCCTCCACCTCAAATTCAATGAAATTAACATTGCTGATACCACACCGTTTCATACTGATGTGGTACCTTCCACTGGTTCAGTGATTGACAGGACCGTGTTGGTGTTAAACAATATAAGACATTCTTTTGGATAACTGGTAACAGGATTCCTGAGAGTTATCAAGAAGGATTATCCCTGCAAGAGAGGGAATGGGTCACCATCCCAGTGTCACTGGATCCCAGATAACATCAGTGCAGGAAAGACATGGACCATCTGGATGACCTCCAGATGAGGCCATGAAGATGGTCAGAGGGCTGGAGCACCTCCTGTCCAAGGACAGGCTGAGAGAGTTGGGGTTGTTCAGCCTGGAGAAGAGAAGGCTCCAGGGAGACCTTAGAGCAGCTTCCAGTGCTGAAAGGGGGCTGCAGGAGAGATGGGGAGGCTCTTGATCATGGGGTGGAGTGACAGGAAAAGGGGCAACGGCTTTAAGCTGAAAGAGGGTAGATTTAGACTAGACATTAGGAAGAAATTATTTACTGTGCGAGTGGTGAGACATTGGCCTAGGCTGCCCAGAGAAGCTGTGGATGCCCCATCCCTGGAGGGGTTCAAGGCCAGGCTGGATGAGGCTTTGAGCAACCTGGGCTAGTGGGAGGTGTCCCTGCCCATGGCAGGGTGTTGAAAATAGATGGTTTTTAAAGGTCCCTTCCAGCCCAAAACATCCTCTGATTCTATCATTATTTATAGCCCTAAAAACATCTGCTGCCTTCAGAGGCTCTAGGATTACAACACACAGCACTTTCCCCAAGAATGGTGACCCTGGCAAGACTCAGGATCTAAATAAGAACTATGCACAGTTTCAGACAATGCTGATTAAGCGGTGTATTTTTAAAAAGTGTTTTCAAATAAATCCAAGAACATCCTGATCCGCAAGTGCAAGCTGAGAGGACAAACTCTTTAAGAAAGCATGCTGGTCAAATTCTTGAAAACACCCACAGAACACACTAATCCTTTATCTTGCACAAGTTATCTAGAGACCTGCTCACCTTCATTGGCGGGGATTTATGGTAAGGAGCTGCCCCTGTAGCCAGTTCGATAGCAGTGATCCCAAAGCTCCAAATGTCTGCCTTGAAATCGTATCCTCTGACCTGAAAAACATTAGAGGATGTTAGCATGTGCCTCTTGCTATCCTACACTACAATCTCTTTCTTTAGCCTATTACACATCCATTTGCTCTTTCCTTCCTTTCCCCTCAAATTTGAAAAGACCGGCACTACAGTGTTAAAGAGATAGAAAGATTATTTTCTCCCTCCTCTCCCCACAGCTCCTTATACCTTGGAAGAGCCTTTTTTAGAAGTCATAGTCTGATGAAAATTATAGCTGTAGACTGTGCAACTAGGACTGCTCTGCCATAAACCTCTCCATGTGTAGAACATAAAGGGGCACTGGGTTAACCCAGGCTCTGACTTCTACACAAAGACACAGTCATTAAACAGTATAATGAAAGTCTCATAGTTAATAGATGGACCGTTATCCCCTCGGGACATATGCCTCACTACACTTTTAGTCAACCGCTTAATCAGTCTGACTGCAAAAACAGGCTCGATCCTGAAACGCCAGTACACACCAGCTCAGTAAAAAGCCCCTCGTTCCTGTCTGCAGACTAATATTTCCCTTCACTAATTAACAGTAGCTTCTGCACTTGACATTAAACACAGACTTGTTCAGGAAAATTTATAGCATTTACTTCCCCTCATACACAGGAAAAAATATTTCATATGCCAAAGCAGTTACTTCCTCATTATCATTAGGTAATATTTTGGCACTTGCTCTCTCCACTGCAGGGGAGAGACATTATGTACTAACTTCAAGAGCAGCTACAAAAATCAAAGCATTTTGGCCGCTTCAAATGGTTTGTATTCCTTCTCGCTAGACTATGGAAAAATGACTATTGAATCAGAGCAAAGCTAATAGGGATATTGTGTTCAGCTAACCTAACGAGCTTTGGAAAGACACTTACTGTGACAGAGCCAAAACCATTTCCCCAACTATCTTTAAGATAATCTTGAATTTTGGCAAACAAACAAAAAAAACTCTTACACTATTTTTCATATAATACTACAGTTGAACTGAAATTTATTATAGCAACAGGGGTTTAAATCTTGCACTAATTTTATCAGCTCTGTAGGCATCGTTTTCATGATCCTTAAGGGCCCAAAAGGCTTCTTGAAGTGCCGCAGTTTATGGATGCCATGAGTATGAACAGATTTCAAGTAATTTAACCAAACAAGCTCAGATATCTAAGGGTGGTTTTTTCCCCCCTCACACACTATTTTTAGGTTTTGAGGATAACTTTGGGACATATCTTAGCTTTATCTTTCAGTTAGTCTTGCAGCGCTTCTATACACTGTATAACTCCCCATTCCCCACTTAGATTTTAACTGTTTAGTGGGTTTTTTTTTTCCCAATTGTATCATATAATCCTGCTTGTAAATGAAAGCTACGAAGTACAAAACTGTCTAGAGTGGTACATCTTGACATCTAATACATCTTAGTCACCACCCTGCAGTTAGTTTACATCAACATTTATTTTTCTCAATTTTTTTTTTTTGCCATGAATCTGTCCAGTGAATGTACATTAAAAGCCAATGCCAGGCTATCACGCATTAACATGTTAAAGGAACTTAATGATGCTGAAGTAAACCAGACAGAATTGGGTCGATAATATCTACATATCGAAGGCTAACCTACAGCAACCCCTTCTCCCTTTTTCCCAGGTTGGATACGGCGGTTCAGAGTGACACCTGCTGGAAGACAGCAAGATGATACAAACGGACATGGAAGGATTTCACGTCAGCATCCAAAATATCTCCTTACCATCTCACATTCACAACAAGTTAGATGTGCACAGCCTCCATGGAAGTACTGCAATCCCTAGAAAAAAAATCTACCTCCTTAGGAAACACATCTTTTGCATCAAGAACCCCCACTCTTTGTCCCTAAAACCTTCACTTTCCCTTTTTAGCACCCTCCTTAAGATCTTTTTTCCCCCCTGTTGTCCTGTGGATTGCAGCCATCCTAACCACAATGAGCCTGGAGCAGCATCGTTAGGTCCTGGCCAGCCGACTGTGCCAGGTGCACCAGGACAGGACACCAACAACAGAAAAGCAAGGGATAACTGATCCAGCCTTGGAAACACTGAATACTTCAGTTTTATTTAGAAAGTTTTAGACATAGGAAAAAAAAATGCATTCAAGTTTTACCACTGTTTTAGCTACATTTCACCTTAAATATATATTTATTGGGGGGGCCGGGGGCAGAGTGTCTCAAGATCCTCCTGAACTTCAAAATAGCATGGAAAAAAGTAACAAAGTGGGTCAATGTTTTCCCAAAATATTTTTGTTTCAAAGATTCTTTTGTAAGGAAAAAGGAAAAACATCTGTAGCCAGTTGTATTTCTGCTTGGTGCTGATGTCAAAAATCAAACCGAGTTGAGCTTTTTAAGGCGGTAAGGGACAATTTTCAAAATGCTTATGGCACTGAACATCAGTGCAATAGACAGCAACCTCAAAATGCCTTGTTGGGGCTGTGGCACGATTTTGCTTGTGGATCTTGCGTAGAAATGGGCCGTGACATTTTACTTTAAACCAAGTTTCCAGGTGGCCTTCATCAGTAGTCACACAGACAAAGCTTAACCCTGTAGTTTAGTCTAGAAGTAGGGGAGGACAAAAAGTGACATATCTTCACCTTATGGGAAGAAGTATGACATCTTTGAGCTAGCCAAAAACTGCAGAGTAGGAAGGGGGAGAGGCAAGCATTCCTCAGTGTTTACATTCTGGATACTCATAAGCCAAGAGAAACTAAATAGCTGAAAAAATCCACTACACATTATTTTACTGTAATAACTCCTCACTCTGACATGTTGCAATTAGCTACCCTGAATTCTCCTATTTTCAAATGCAGAAGAGCATGTTACTGAGCTGGGTAAGTGCCCTTTTACCATGGGTGAAACTATTTATATTCCAACTCACATTTAGGCAGGAGGGAGGGGCAGATTAATCCTCTTTATGCAACAGCTGAGCTGTCTCATCCTTACCTTAGGTACCAGCATGAAGAGAAGCAACAGAGCAAAAACCTACTGAATACCTGAACAGTCCCCAGTACAAGCCTGGCTGCAATGGGCAAATCAAAGACAATCCTGTGGTTTTAAGAAAGCCCTATAGGATGTCAAATTATCATCTGAGTTTGAAGGAAATACGGCCATTGCTGACACAGGGAATTCCAGGTGCAGATCAGCTCAGAGGACGCTAGGAAAAACAATTCACCTGTTCCATAACTTCTGGTGCCATCCAGCAAGGTGTGCCCACAAAAGTTTTCCTGACTTTATTTCTGGTAATGTCACCACCAGTGGCCAGAAATGCGCTAACGCCAAAGTCTGCAAAGAAAACAAATAACAGATTTTATTAAGAACACATCCTGAGCAAACTGAAGGGTTGTCCTCTCTTTCCCCTCGTATTCCCAGCATCTATTAAGTAGTTACACATGAGAAGTCCCCTAATGAGAGAAGAATGATCAACAGCTAGCTAAGAGTGCTGGTACACGGGCGGTCTGTAGTCCACCATTCAATTACCGGGGACAGCAGAGCTTTCAGCGCTGGCCGGCAGAGAGGAAAATTCCACTTTCCATCACAGCCCACTGGTCACATTACAGCACGCCCGCGCTCCCCCAGCAGACCTGCGACTGTACAAACCTGCCTCTGACAGCCAGTGCTGTATTCACAGTTGTACACTTGCAGAACAAGGAATAACTCAACTTTGATTAGTATCTTGTTAGTATTTGCGGCAATGAAGTCCAGTACACATAAAGTTACTAGATTTTATAACATTTAAGTGTCCCTTATTTCAGATGTTTTATTACCAGAATAAGCTTTGCTCAGTAATCTTCCATCACTGAGATGCTCAGGGCTTTAACAGGAACTTGGACCAGTTCCCAGTGATACAGCAGCGTTACGGGATGGAGCAGCATGCGCCGCTAACCAGCCCAGTATCCCAGAGGAAGCCTTGCAGACAGGGATTCACACCCTGCACAGCGTTACCCCCACCTGAAACATCTCCCACAAGCTGAAGGGTGCTCCAGGATGCTCCATGCACTCTCTGGTAATTGTATTACTTTAGGTAACTCATTCTTTTTACATGAACACTATGCTTTCAAAGAAAACACTGATGTTTTATGCAATTGAGAATGACACAGAGAACTGGATCTGTGAAGAGCAGCAGTAGTGTGCAGGGATAGCAACGGGATACAGTATGTCTGTTCAGAGAAAAGCATTACAAAGTGATCTGGCAACCAAGTCATTCAAGAAAGGAGAGTAGATTTTCCTTGGAGAGAAAAAAAAATATCAGGTGACACAGAGACTATAAACACAAAATTGTATAGGTGTTTCTTCCCAATTTGCTCCCAACTACACTGTTTATGTATTGCAGAATTATAGACCTGCCACGGGTCATTCTCCATAACACAGTTTTATCCACACTACCACCTTTTTTAAAAACAGTACAAGAAATTAAAATCTTGAACGCCATTTTTGAGATTGATGACAGGCTTGGAGGATAAGTCTCTGAAATTCAAGGGCTATTTCACATACAAACAGAACATTATTGACCACAGCTGGTTTGAAAATACTCGAAACTCAGCTGACATGGTTAGCTGTAAATGCAAAAGTCTTACTCAGAGGAGCCATGGAGTTACTCCATGGCTTAAGGATGTAATCCAAGTTGAGGAATCTACTGAAACAAAAGATCCCTCTTCACAATTTGCAAGCATGGCATCCACGTGAGGACTGTCACAAGCTTCCCTTTGCATCATGCCAGCAGTGCAATGAGTCCCTTCTCCCCAGTTTTTCAATACTGGAGGAACACCACTGAAATTATCACTCAGTATAAGATGCTGAAAGCTTCCAGCTCACTTAGGTGAGAAGCTTCCAAGGACAGGAACTTAGTGAAATTTGCATAGAAATCACAGGGCTACAACAAGCACTAGCAAATGCCTATCATTAGGGTTCAGCTTCCTCCAGATGTGCTGTCCTGTTCTCTTGCTGTTCCCAGAGGCATTTTTTTTTCTTGCTAACCCTGAAGTTCTAGCACGTCTAGAGGGATCACTATCCCTTGTCAGCACTGCAATCTGTATTTTTCTGGAAATCCACTTTTTGCAACAGTGGTTTTGCTTTAAGATCTTCCATGTGTGTACCCACCATCCTTGCTTTTCTCAGAAAACTGAAGGAGCTTCCTAAAAAGTTCCAAGTAAAATTACTTGCACTTTTCCCCCTCATTATGGGAAGTCTTGCAAGATCTATTGTTCTAAACACAAGAGCAATTAGAAGTTCTTTTAAATAAGATAATACTAATAAAAACTTGTCCGAGTGCCATCAGCACGTTATTGTGATGTGCTGTATTTGAACTTGTGTATATTATCTTACCTCAAGTTTCCATGCAGTCATTTTGAGGGTAAAGGAAATGCCATTCAAAGCTAAAGCATTCCAGCAGTAAAAACACAAATCCTTTACACAGCGCACACAGCATTCACCACATTTCACATCAAACGAGGGTTTATAAATTCCAGTTGGAAATTGTGCCCCTACATCTGCCCTCTGAGGTCAGCAGAAAGCTTAAATGGAATTAAATTGTATTCCGTTACATGGCTGATTTATTCAATGTTTTCCCAATCAATTTCCCTCATTTCCAGTGGGCTAAAACAGGCGCAAGCAGTCTGTGATACCCTGCTGTAAGGAATTACTTTGAAACTGTCTGCTCAAATGTCATCTTACTAACTTTATCCAAGCCCCTGCTATTAAGATAAGAATGTGCCTGCTCTCAAATATCTGTAAAGCAATAAAATTAAAACCGAACCACAAGAGTTCAATTCTTACTTCTGAGCAGTTGGTGTGATCTGCATCTCATTCTCTCTGCTCCCGTTAACTCCCCTCAGAAAGGCTAAAACAGAACTGGGTTATTGCAAAAGAATTTAACTCTAGAAAACGGGGAACACCATGAAATTCAGGAGGTATGATAGCTCAGAAGTGTTTACATTTGTACTCTTCTCCGGTAGCTTGTGCTTTATATTGGCTCACTACGGTGATAACTGGAAAGGAGTGCATCACCAGAAACACGGAGGAACTGGAAACGTTTGGACCTGGCTTGCAATACCAGTAACCACCACTGCTGGGAATCCAATGACTGTCAGATATTCTAAAGGAGCCCAAAACCTGCAGACTTCCAGCAGTCTGCTAGCAAATAATAGTCTCCAGGATGTCTGGATGCAAGTAGTAGGAACTTTTTTTTTTTACCATTTTTCTGAAGCAATGTAGAAGAGATTAATCTGCTGGACCTGTTTCAGTGATATAAGCCAAAGACTCCTTCAAAAGAAATATATATCTCCAGACTCTCATATCACAGCAAAACCAATCCAGAATGGAAATAACAATTCTGCTGATGCAGGCTGTGCAGAAAATGTGGCCAATTTGGTCTTTTTCAGTAGAAACATCATGTGTTGCAAATCACATACCCCCCCAAAACACTCTACGTGAAGTTGCAGGCTAGTGTTTGAAAAAGCATGGGATTAGGCAACAATTCCTGCTATTAAGGTATCCAAGTTGTCAAACTTGAAAACTATTCTGGCCACTTGGGAAACGCAAAAGCTGAAAGGAAAACCTCCTCTTACTGTTCTGTGTTGCAGAAATAAAGACTCAGTCTAAACATCTCACCAACACAAGACTGCTGTGGCAGGACCACATCACAACGGGCACATTGCTGCTGCGTACGTCAGGAAGATGGATTTCTACAGTAACCTAAGTTAGATTGCTGTATTCAAATCTAGAAGTCAGCCGTGGAAAATCATCTCTCCTTGGCTATCTCCTACTATATCATTACCTTAATCCTAAAAAGCCGAAGTACCTGCTACTGTAGGTAACTACAAGGGAAAGACAGCAGTGAACTAATCAGGAGCCAGGACCAAAGCCTACTGACATCAGAAAGGCTCCTACAGAGTTTGGTGGGTTTGGATCAGACCCTAAAGCAGCAGTTCTCAACTGCAGTGGAGACAGAACAACAGAGTAAACCAATCTTGACTTCAAAACACTCAGAGCTGGTTTTAAACTTGGGTAGCCAAAATATTATTCCCCCTCAAGTAAAAATAAAAGTATTTCAGAAGACAGCACTAAGTGTCTTTTTCACTGGTCTCCTTCCTTCTGGTTCAGTTGTTCATTATCAGAAAATGTCTGCAGTTGTACTTAGTGTTTTTCTGCAAACCTCACAGCTTTTAGAGCACTGAAGGTGAATAAAGCCCAGCAAGAAAAGGAGGAAGGTCTTGGAGATAGAAATACACACTTGTTCTCCCAAATTCTCATTTGGAAAGGCAGATCTCTGCACTCACATATATTTCTAATCAATTCACATGCAGAATGGCACCTTCACTTTTATATGCATCACAAGTTTAGCCTTTTCGCAATAATGTCAAGGCACATAAAAGATGTATGAAATCCCTTCGCCGAGTAAACAAAGATCACATCTGAAACCAAGCCCCGACAGCATGTTAATAAAGATATGTTAATACTGCCCAAAGTAACTTCAGGATGACAAAGCCCAGGCCACGTGAAGCCACCACCCTTAGAGAAGTTCACAAGCTGTTTCAACAACCAAATAGCGCAACATCTCTTCAGGAAATGCAGATATTACAAGCGACACAAGGACTAAGTTACTTCACATCATACTGCTGCAGTAGAGGCACCAAAACTCTCCTCCAAACACAGAGAAAAATGCTTTTGCCTTTTTTTTTGTTTGTTTTTTGAAAGGTAGAAGAGGCTCAGAGGTGTCCATGACACAGCTCCGGGTGCTCCAGTCTGCTGTGCAATCAGGACTCCTCTCCCTGAGTTAGGCTAGTGCCTTGCCCCTTGTTAAAGCAATTTAATCTCCCAAAGTTAGACTTTCCTAAGGGGAAGTGGGGGAATGGCACTGCCTGCATCATAGCTGGATGTTTATGTAGAGCGCTATTTTAGTACAATGAATTAAGAGCAGTCAGGAACACAGAGAACCGGTGACAAGCTGGCATGGATTTGTGGAAAGTTACACAAATTCAGTTACACAAGTTTTGCCTGGCCTTAACTATCCCCATTTTATAAATAGATAAAGCGAGAGGGGTTAGGCAATTTGCCCAGGATCAATTAGCAAGTCCTGAATGACTTCGTGAAATCTCAAATCTACTTCAACCACTTAGCAACACAGCCTGCCCAGGACACGGCAGGCACAGCGAGCGCCTCTGGAGTGTGCGTTAATAATCCCGACTGGTTTTAAAACCTGAAGATATCGCGTCTTCTCTACAACAGAAAAATTTCTTATGTGGAGGGACATGTACCTTTCAGTCTTCAGGCTCTTGTTTCTTCACATTCAATCACAAAGAGGTGGGCAACAGCATTATTTAGTATCTCAGCGGTGAAAAATCCAGTCTCAGCAGGATGCTATTATCATGCCCTGGCTGGAGCATGGTTTGTCCTGAGCAAGACTCATGCACCCTGACCGAGCTTCCCCCAACAGCCCCTCAACCTCTCCCATCCCTTCCCAGCCTATCAAGATTTCACAATAATTTATATGGTTTATAAATAAAATGAAAAATATTAAGCCTTGCTTACTACGAGAAGTCTCCTGGTTTATGCAGAGATATTGGTGCCAATGCAGTTTATGTTGACAGTGTTTTTACCCATGCAGCTTTCAGACTCCAGGGAGCAAACAAATGCCACGGCAAAGAGGTTTTATGCTCTGATTAAAAAAAAAAAAAAATTACAATAATTGCCATGGAGAGGCTGGAACACAAAAGAACGTGGCTATCTCAATTTACATTGCAACTACCGTCAGCACAGCCCAGAACAATGGTATCTGGGAAAGAAAATCTCCAGAAGATAGATTAATTCAATGTGCAGGAAAACACTTCAAACTGAGAAAGCGATACTCTCCGAATTGTAACAGGCTTCAAAAACTTGGTGCCAAGCCACAAGCCCAAGCCAGTGCCCTTGGGGAAGAGAGAAAGAAAAAAAAAAAAAAAAAGGAGATGTTAAGATAGAAGCAAACAGGCTCAGTTTATGTCTCGCTGGTCAGCTGGATCTGTTAAAAGGCAATTTTATGCCTTGGTTCAGTGGATGCCCATTTTGAAAGCAAAAGGAGCTACACAGTTAAAAATAGACAGAGCTATGAGTAAAAATACCAAGACCCAGGACTTGGGGAGGAGTTTGAAGCTGGGCATTTGTGCAGGCCATCACAGGAATTGTTAGAATTCCTACTTCCAGCAAATGCCCCCAAGATCACAGATTTCGCCTTCATTGCTTTACCTGTGCCCACCCCAGCTCGCAGTGCTCCTGCACCCGATGCACAGCCACCAATTTGGAGTCACAAACAGAACCTGAGAAACGTCAGGCACACCTTCATCAAGTCGCTTTTTCCATTCAGCCTCAACAAAATAGCACAGCCCAAATTAACAAAGAGAGGCTTTCGTTTTCACTGGTTAGAACTGTGTAAACCTGCAGCAAGATTACTGTCACAGATTTTATATGATGAAAGTTGGGTCCCAAGTAATTAAATTCACTGATGTGGAGGTATAGCCCAGCAGTGGGGTTTCCTCAGCCACAGGGTCGAGTATTTTTTCTAAACCTTCAAAGTAGCTTTACTTTTTCCACCCCTCAAAGGATTTCCAGTTTGAGATTTACACTCCTTACATTTACATTGGTGATTTACATTTCTTCTGAGACAAGGAACATGAATCGTGTCAAGCAGCAGGAAAAACACAGGAACACGAGGTTGCAAAGGCCAAACACTGAATACAACCTTCTTAACAACTGCTCGTGGGAAGTTTTGCTAGAGGGATGGCAAAAGGGAAATAAGTCATTATAAAAGAATTGAAGTCATTCTTTCCTGCTACATTATTTGCATTTTTAATGTACACCAAACCAGCTCCTTCGAGGGAGGTGCCCCATTCACTCCAACCCTCAGGCTTCGTTCCACAGCTGATCAATCTTTTTCCTCATGGTGTAAGTTTCCAGCGAAACTTAGAACTCCATGGGAACACGGTGATGTCATCCATCTGATAACTGAAGCAGTCAGTGACCAGAATTATTCATAATATGCATTAATATTGTCAAAGGCAAGTGCTTTGATCTCGCTGAAACAAAACTCACTTTATTGGGATTGGTTTGCTTCCAGCATTTTTTCTTCCTCAGAAAAATTCACAAGAAATTTTGCTATTTCATCTTGGGTCAGGAGGAAAGGAAGCTTAAGTGTCAGAAATTCCCACAGAAACAAAATCTCATGTTATGACCAGGTCAGCTTCTCCTCTAGTATTCAGTCATTCATTTATTTTTGTTTCTTTCAAGTCCTTTTGAAAATCATCAAACACATTGATGATAAATCTGTGCAGTCCACTTCCAGGCCTATGAACTTAACTGTTTTAAAAATCTGACTAGCTTATGCCAAGAATTTTATCTAATCTATTGATTCTGAGAACAGTCACAGGATTTATTCATACTGATTGTCATTATTCCAAGGAACAGTATTTTAAGTACCCAAGACATAATAAATCCTGGTGTTTTCTTTTTTTTTTGTTTTGTGGTTTGTTTATTGTTGGGGTTTTTTTGGTGTTGCTGGTTTTGATTGATTGTTTGTTTAAGAACTGCCAGGCTTCTTGAAGCTAACATTTTTATGTAGGTTTCTTCTTGATCATTAAACCATCTCTTTGGAGACACAGTTAGGCCTAAAGTTGATTCAAAGCTACCAGGAAAGTTACCTGCAATTTGCACTGATCCATCTTCTCCAAGAAGAATATTTCCTGCTTTCACATCCCTGCAGAAAGATAAAGCAACAATAAATGGAAGTCATTAAATCTTGCCCTCAACCAACAAAGATCCATTGAAAGGTTATTTTTTATTATATTTTGTTTCTTGCATTAGCACCTCCTGCTTCCAATCATGTAGAAACAGTAGGGACTTAACACCAATCGTAACTTCAGTAGACAGACACTAAGTAGTATTTGTACAATTTATAGTCAGCAGCATTTTAAGTACTATGCACAAAAAACAAAACCGAGAAACTTACCAGAAGGTATCCTCAAAAATACAAGGAAAGTGGTTTGTCCCAAGTTCTTAAGTTAGCTAAAAATGTGAAGAGAGAACCTAGCACTGGTCCGATACTCATGCATCCTTTTGCGGGGGGAGACTTCAGGAGACAGTGAGGAGATTATCTAATCTCACTACTGCTGAATGCATCCTGTTGCTCCCCAGCCCCAAGTCTTCTTGCTCCCCAGCCCTGAAGGAGTTCACATGCTTCCTCAGGAAGTCAGTTTAGTCCCACACACTGGTGAAAATCCAGACAGAAAAAAAAAATGTTGCTTGCTCATGGCTTAATGAACTGAACCACACTACCAAGGGTCAGGTGAGCAGAGATGGTACAACAGGGACAGCAAGAATGGGAAAGTGGGGCCAGTCAACTGTCCTGGGAAGTCTCAACTTTAGAAAAAAAAAATCAGGGAGACTTTTTCACTACCAAAGTCAACAAATGCACAAGAACATCCAGCGTGTGCTATGGAAGTTATTGTACTATCTCCTATCTACCTCAAACAGCCTCTGGTTTCTTAGGTCAACAGCAACACTTCTCCATCGTTGAGGAGAACGCTACTATCACTCCAAATACACTTGGAAGTTTTACAGCTTATTTTCACAGGCTGTTCTCCACGCAAAGCCAAGAGAAGCATGCTTATAGCCGACACCCACGTTCATCATCACAGCTGCTAAGCTTGCACTGGCTAGGAAACCACGCAGACCCAGAGCACAAGCAGGTGCCACCTCAAGAAAGGCTGCAAGCAAAGCAAATGCCCGCAGAATGGATGCCAGGGAATAGATGGCCGCTGACAACACATCTCACCTTAACAGCAACCACCTGCACAGAAAAGAAAAAAAAGCAAAAAAAAAAACCACACCAGAACAAGCAGATTCTCCCTCCACTGCCTTCCACAAAAATTCCAAATCCTTTCACACACACACACACACACACCAAAAAAAAGTCAAAAGCTATTTTTTCCCCTTTCTCCCTCGTGCATCGTGAGAACAGAACTGGCATGGTGGCCTGGCCAAAGAGCCCTGGTTGGGCCCTGGAAATCTCCTCCTTCCTGGCTTTGCTCTTCTGAAGAAGAGCCTGGGCTGCTGCCAGTTCCAGGCCAGGATAATTTTAAACACATCCTCTCCAGCATTAGCATTTGTTAGCTTCTTCCCGATACCTAGTACACCGCCAGGGCAAAGCTTTCCCCCAGCATACAGCAGAACAAAACAGAACAAAGACCGTCCATAAGACAGTCACTAAAGATTACTTTAACAGCAAACCACGACTGACAGCAGCCTTCAAACAAGTATTTCAAGTCCTGACAAATGTACATCTCTTGCTAGCAGTGACCATCTTGCAGCCCAATTTCTCTTTGAAGCATGAGTGTAAGAGCAAGCACAGGAAAATAACAATTTGTTTAATGCTCAAGAACACTCAGACAGATCTATATGGAAACCCTGACGTTGTATGGGGAGATAGCGTTGAAAAGATGACTTAATAGCAGAATGGGATTCAAAGCAATAAAAAGCTGTGACAGTGATGCCTGGATAAGTAGACCAAACGTAAAAAAGAATTGCTGCCAGTCCTGCTCCTTTTACATTGGCCAAATGTGTGAACATGCTTTTAGGGGCGGGTCAGCTTCCCCTCCAAGCAGCACTATTTTGTTTTCTTCCTGCAATTAACAGCTGCAGATGTTGCAGACAAGAAAGCATCAGCACTGTCGTGGACAGAGACTCTTAAGTCGACAGAGGGACCTGAAGGGATTAAATACAACATTAAGCACGGAGCTATGCTACCTCCCCTCAGCATCCACTGACCAAATCCAATACAACTGGAGTTTCGAGGGTTAATTACCATGAGCGATACAAACCTGACTAAACCCTGCACTCCCACAAAGCATTCCCAGTCTATAAAAGTGAGGGAATGGAAAAGCTCCTTCCCAATATTTAGGCAGACAATGCCTCTGGGATCCAACTCCATGAGCACATGGAGCCATGAGAGCGCAGCGCCCAAGTCTGCCGGTTCCTAGGTACGGAGCTGGCTCACGTGGCGTGAAATGTGCTTGGCACAGGCGCAGCCATCTCCAGGAATCCCCCCTCGTACCAGCACTAATTCAGAGGGAACAGAGGGTGTTCCGGAAACTCTCCAATCCTACGGGAAATGTTTATCCAGACAAGTCAGTTCTCCTGCGACAGCCAGGACGCACGAGGCTCTTTCACAGCCGCCTGCCAGTTACAGGTTATGGGGAAAGGAACAGCATGCACCGAGGTCGCCTGTTGAAGTTACCATTCCTCTTACTGAAGACAGACACAAATAACAGTAATTTCCTCTTCCATCTGTACTCCAAGGCAGCCCAGGATGCTGGAGCGTTTCCCCAGTAAGCTGGGCCATGTGATGTTGTACAGCCTCTCCAAAAACCTACCCTGCCGGCACCACGGCATGTGCAGCTCACCACCAGACCATCCTATCAGAACAGAGCAAGCTAGACAGGCTTAGTGTGCAAAAAGTGAAATGAGTCCCAAGATTGAATCCCATAGCAAAAAGAAGCCAAAGGACTCCAGTCCCTTAACCCCCTCCAGTGCAGAAGCTTGTTTGCTTGTTTTCTTTTTAACTTCCATTTAGATTAATCAAATTTACATATTTTCTCACTGGAAACAAGTCAGTAAATATGGTGCTTCAAGCTGGTTCAAGAAATTAAACCAAGTCATGGCTACAATAAGAAATCCAGGAGGCTGCCAACAGTCACAG